TCCTACGGAAGAGCTGACTTTAACTACACTTTCTGGGTTTTACAGCTGTTTCAGGGCTGATTGGCATCATGTATACGAATGTATTTATTTTACTGCATATGAGCACTTGAAATTGCTAATCCTAGCTAGAAAAGAGCTTTGTCTTTGCATCAGTTTTCTCTTGTGATCAATGTTTGGTGTAATACGGGCCGTGAGGTAGACGCTTTAGCAAAACGGGACAATTATGGGATAATCTTGTGTGATATCGGCTCATTTTCATTGCTCTGGACTACATAGGAGTACTTAGTTGCATACGTATGGGTTGCCTGTATCTGCAATTCCTAACGTGGAGTCCCCCTGGACTCCGCAGCAGCGGTGAAGGATGCTGCATGGCTTTGCTGCTGCCTGAAACAGGAGAAGTTAAGGACAAATACGAGATATTTCTGTGAATTACCTCCTTGCGCTGGCACGCTTGTTGTGATGAGGATTTTGCACTGTATTTTCCACCTGAGGTTTTTTAAGGCATTTTATAAAGTGATAATCTATCTTAAAGTTGATTTCTCGATTCCGATTTTCCCTCTTGTCCTATGTTCTACCAAAATGCATCCACTGCTCCCCTGGCATAAAATAAAGCATGGTCTACTTGAATAGCTGTACAAAACCAGACTTTATCTATCCTGCAGCAGCTTTCCTAAGAAAATTTACACTGGCATAAAATCTGGTAGGAAATGGGATGTGCAGACCTCTGGAAAGGAGCTTTTCTGGAGGCTCAAGGCTGGTCATTGAAGTGGTTCCAACCACAGGAGCTTCCTTAGTCTGAGACTTTAAGTTCTAAATCGATGGGACTTTCTGCGGCAATCTGTGCAACGGAGACAAACAGAAAGTAGCGTTTCTTTTCTTAGAAATGTTAGAGACATTGAGTCAAGCTGAATATTGCATCTGTTCAACGAGTCCGTGCGCGAAATTTCATATGGCGAGGTTTTAAATAAACTCTCCACTTTATATTTCATGCCAGTGACTCATCCAATCAGTCTGAATTAGCCTTCATTTGCCGCAAACTGGTGCAGACCACAAAACTTTCTGGAAGAGAGAGGAAGACGCTCTTATATTTGCCTTTGGGGCATTTTTTACAAATAGGTTGAACACATGACCTAACCCAGCAATTTTGGTCTTGATCTTGCAGGGTGAGCTTGGGGGGGGTGGGCTTGACGTCTGCAAAGGGCTAAAATGACTTCATCAGCGATGATCTTGCAGAAAAGCAGCCGTTTTCGCCAATGCCACATCAACACATTCCTCGCTCTCCCGGATTTTTGGCAAAAAAGTTTAAGTATGTTTTAAGTACTCTTAAAGGGTTTTTGAGTGAGATTTTTGCTGCCGCTGCTGTTGGAAGGTTCTTCCAGACTTCCATCCATTAGGAATTTTATTTCTAGCCTGTGCGTATCCAGCTTGTACCTACTCATTTTATATGCCAGTGTTGTCTTATTTGAATTTAAACAGCTTTTCTCGCTTTGGTGTTTTTCTCCTGGACAGATTGACAATGCATGTCCAGGTACCCTCACTCTCCGCTTTAGTAGACCTAAAAGCGAGAGACCTTTCAGTCTTCCCCGCTAAAACAAACTCCCCTTCCCTGGGCTGTTTATAGTGAGCCCTGTTACTGGGTTTAATCCTTAATTTAGGACCAGCAGCCGGGCTGACGAGGCCTAGCATGTGCAGACTGGATCATCTTGTGCAAGTTTGTTAATTTTTTCCATTTAAAAAAAAAAAAAGTTTGTTTCTTTGATTGCAAAAAATATCTGAGGCCATGAAAAGAGCAGCCCCTGTTCGGGAAGGCGTGCTTCCCCCTCGCAGGAGAGGTGCCGTGCCACAGGGATCACGACTTTATCCAGCCTCCAGCGAGTTGCTCTCCCTGGAATCACTTATTCGCAGCCACTGCTCCCGGGGGGGATTTTGCGGGGCCGTGGTGCTTGGGCCGTGCTCGCTGGCGGAGGCATGCACCGGCACCGGCTTCCTTGTGCAAGGAGAAACTTCTGCCAGTGCAAAAAGGGGAAAAAAAACATATAAAAGGAGAACAGGGAAGTGTCTAAAGAGAACAAGGCATTTTGCTGCTCTCTGAATTTTACTCCTGAAGAGCTGAAACTAGATGGGAACCTGTTTTCTCCCTGTGTTTGAATTTAGCATCTTGAAAACAAGGCTGATCAGCGAGTCGTTAACTCCGTATGTCCTTCTGATATACTCGGGCCTCATCACAGCCCTCAGTGGCTCGAGCCTTTTTATTCTCCTCTCTCGTCTTCCCAAGGCGGAGAGCGGGGAAAGCACGTTCAGCCTTCCAAATATTTTATTTATATCCCGCCAGCCGTGAGTAAGTGCCTCCAGCCTTCTGCTTGTCATAAATCTGTTCATCGCCTTCCTCCATCAGCTCCTTACAAGAGGAGGTTTTGTACCAAAAGAAGGGATTTCCATGGACTTGGAAATTTGTGTTTGGCGAACACAAATAACAACCTCCGGGCTGGTGTTGTGCTTGTGGCTCGGTGCCCGTGGGAGCTTTCACTGGGAGACGCCGTGATGGGGATGGGACGCGCGGTGCCCTGTTCAGCCCCTGCAGATAATCACCTTTCGTGTTCCTGTTGAGCGAGGGGTGCGGGAGCAGCCTGGGTTTGCTGCGTTACTGCCCCGCTGCAGAAATTAAACTGGTTCTAGAAGGGAGATGGCGGCCTGTCCTACAAAGGTACAAACTGGGTCAGTGTTGTCACGCGCCTTCAGCTCTGCCTTGCCTTTAAAAAAAAAGGGGGGGGGGGGAGAGAAAAAAAGAGGGGGAAAACCAAAAAACAATAACAAAAAAACCACCCACCCACAAACCAGCAGTGTTACAACCCTTTGTATAATGAATTTCGGTCACCAGCATTGGGCCAACTTCCCTTAGCTGCTTCTTGCAGATGCTTTAGAGGTGATCCCCAGCTCGTGATTTCCATGGGGGATGTTGAGCGAGGGGAAAAATGATGTGAGAAACCACATGGTTTTGACCAGGCTCCGTCCCCGATGCCCTGGCTGTAGCTGAGGGTGCTGGTCCTGCACCTCCAGGGTGGGTGCTGGGCACACCATTAACTTATAAACAGCTCATCCCAGCTTCTTCAGAGAGCTCTGCAGGGAAAGGCCCCTGGCTGGGGGGGGTGTCTATAAAGAGCAAAGCCACGGTGGAGTGAGTGTCGGGAGCTGCCGTGTCCTTGTGAGCCCAGGCAACCTCGAAGGGAGTAGAAATAAACCCAGTTTGCTCACAAGCGGAGAGGATGGTCGCAAAGCCAAGCCGTCATCCTGCTGGCTGTAGGGTCGCTTTTGGGCAGCCAGACCGTGTTCAGGCAATGCCGGGGGGATGCTGACGCCAAACCCCGGGCAGCCCGTCCCGTCCTTCAGCGACTGCTCCCTCCTGGCAGGGGCAGAGCAATGCTGTGCTCGAGGGGCTGTCTGGAGCCAAAATGGGGGACCGTGTCTTGCCTCTCCTTCCCCTGCCCCACGCTGATTTACACCGCGCTCATTTACACCGTGCCCTAGCAATTGGGACGCTGGTGGAGGACCGGGACTCCAGTGCCAAACCGGATCGCAAACCTCCCGCCGGCATCCTCGGCTGCAGCGCCGAGCGACTGGCACAGGCAGGAGGATGCTCGCTCAGCACCGGGAGGCTCGGCTGCTGCGAGGAGACCTTTGGGGTTTCTCCCGTGTGAACGGGGTGTCGGTGTGGCTTGCAGTTTGGCCAGGGAAATATTATTTATTCCACTTGACACAAGTGGAGGCAGAAGGTGCTGAACGGGGCGGAATCAAGCTGCTGTTTTCTGTCATCTGTTATTGATATTTGTTTAATTATTTTTAATTATTTATTATTTTCTTAATATGTTATAATCCCCGGCCCATCCACAGTGGGATCAATACATCAATACAATACAGGAGCTGCTGTTTTCTGTCATCTGTTATTGATATTTGTTTAATTATTTTTAATTATTTATTATTTTCTTAATATGTTATAATCCCCGGCCCATCCACAGTGGGATCAATACATCATACAATACAAGGCTTGAATTGTAATAAGGGAGGTTCGGGTTAGGTGGTAGGAAAGCTTCCTGCCAGGCAGAGCAATGACGTACTGGCCTTTGGCACGTTGAAGCGTCTCCATCCCTAGGGGCCAAAGAAGAATTTTCTTAAAAACAAAAATAAATTAAAATAATCTGTAAGTAAAGAAAATCTGGCCCTGGGGAATAGGAATGGGCCAAATGGTCTGTCCCAGACCCGGCAGGCTGTTTTCTGTGATATTTATAGGATGTTTTGTATTTTAAAGGAAGAAATTGAAGCCAAATCATGCTGATTGTTACAAAATGTTAGCTGCTGTTTGTGGAAGAGCCTGTCATGGAAAGGAGGGGAAGAGCCAGTGTCTGAGCCAGCTCAACGCAGGAAAAATTGTGGGGAATTTGACATTTAAAGTAATTCTGTGCTGCAGGGAAATAACCGGAGCGCCTTGTGCAAAGGTCTTGGCAGCTTTGAATATTTCAGAGCGCCTCCTTTTTTGTCCTCCCTTCTGAATATTAAAAAATAGTATCTGCTGATAATATTTGATAGCAACGTGGGTTATGGGATTGGGACTGAGTAAATCCAAGTGGGTTTTCCCTCTTTGCGCTGATGTCCTGCGGGAAACCACGTGAGCCTCTTCTCCTTCCCTGCGGCGGAATGGGGGTTCGGCTCTGGGGTGGGCGCTGGGGTGTGCTCGGGTCTTCCTGGAGCTGAAAGTGCGCGTGCAGCCCCTCGGACCAAAGCAGCTCGGAGAAGGGGCATCGCCTCCGCCGCCCCATGGTAATATAACCCTAAAGTATCTTCTGCGTCCTCAGCAAACGCCCAGCTCTTTGGGGGTGCAAAGGCAGAGAGCACGTGGCTCTTTAGGGGGTAAAAGCTTTTCGAGCAGCGGCCGTGCAGCCCCACACGCCCCAGATGCTCACGGGGTTCCCCTCGCCGCTGTGTTTCAGGCTGGATGCGGCCGGGCCATGGCGCAGCTGGAGCTGCTGTGGGCAGCCGCCGCGCTGATGCTGCTCGGGGCCACCGTCAGCCTTTGCATCAAGTGCCAGCTCTCCGGTAAGGCGCTGCCCGTGTGCTTCGGGGTCCCGCCCGCGGCCCCGGGCTGAGCTGGGGGGGGTCACGCTGGGCAGACCCTTTCTTTTTGGGGTGTCCCCTCCGGGTGGGTTTGGTCCTGCTCAGCCACGTGCTGGCTCAGGGAGCTTTGCCCTCGTGGGGATGCTCCCAGCGGCTTGAGCTGGGAAGGGTCTCTGCTGGCCCCCCCAGCAGCTACGGGGGGAAAGGACCCCCAACCCTGTAGCACTCCTTCCCTGGGGTGGGTGCAACACCATGGGCTGCAGACCCTTCTCCGTGGGCACCGTGGCGGGTGGCTTTGGGACACCCCACACAGGAGGACCATATCCAGATGCACGAATCCTGCGGGGGCTCTGGGGCAGACAGGCAGGAGGAGGGCAGGCGCGAAAGGACAGGCTGGGGGATGTATTTATAAACACATGAAATACAAAGAGAGCGGGGCGAGCACCCGCCCTGGCAGGGGGGTCGAGCCCACCTCTCAGTGCTGGGTGGGTTTTACTGGGAGAGGCTGCAGGAGTGGGGTTTTGGGGGCAGGAGTGGCTGGCTTGCTTGCTTTGCGGTGTCTGAGACCAATACTACACTTCAGACATGGCTTAAAAAAAATAAATCAAAACCCTATCGCAACTGCTGCTCGCTGCCCCCACTGTCCTCTCGTGCTCCCGGTTGAAGAAGTTTTGTGAATGTGTTTTATTGGTCTTTCTGATCTTTAACTCCCAAATCATCCTTTTCTACGAGCTTTTTTTTTTTCCCTTGTCTTCCAGCTACCAAGCGAGAGAAGCAGTCGAGTGAGCGGAGGAGCCAGTAAGTTGCCTTTCACAATCGCACTTCTCCCCCAAACAGCTCACCCGGGGTGAGACCCTGGCCAAAGCCAGACCCGCTCCGTGCCTCACAGCTGAAATCCAGATCTATATAAAATAATCCCAGAATGGGGCGTGCAGGGCGGTGTGCCCCAGCCCAGGGTGCTGTGAAGGGGTAATGCCTTTACAAAGAATAATCCAAAATGAAACTGAAGCTCTGACCGTGATGCCTTTGAGTCATTAACTAGTTGGAAAAAGGTCTGAGAGAATTGGAAGGGCAAGTCTTTATCCTGTGCCGTCGTGCCCCAAGATGAGGTAGAGAGGTCGGTAACTTCATAAACAAGACCCTGCCCTTGGCTGGTGCTGGTGGGACCCTGTGCCAGAGCAACCACCGACCTGCAGCATAAGCAACGAAGGAAATGCATTGTACACACATGCACCCCCTCTTATTTCCTTCAGCAACAGACAAACCACAGCTAAATGATATAAAGAAAGAAAAAAAAAAAAAAAAAAAAAGCTGGCTCGTAACCTTTTGATACAGGAGCAAACGTGGTGCAAAGGGGCTCTGCGAAGGCCTCCGCGGGGTTGGGGTGTTTGCTTCTGCCCCGCTTGCCCGGGACCGGGGGAAAGGCTTTGGCGTGGTCCGTCCGAGACCAATGGAAAAGCCAGCGCAGGCTCCATCCCCTGCGGGCTCGTACTGAATTGTCCTGACTTCTTGAAATTTATACCTGGATTAGGTGGTTTGACTTCAGGCTCATGGTGCTCTTTTTCTAGATCTGTTTTGGGTTAGTTCGGGCTTTTTGTGAGCAAAGTGGTTTAACTCTGTGCATTTGCAGACTTTGCAATGAGGTCCTTTGCCTGACACCTCGTCTCCTCGCCAGCCCTGTGGCGTGAATACCGGCTTGGGGTGGGGGGTGACCTGAAAGAAAGGGGGAGGGGGGAGAAAGGGATACTTTCAGGGTCCCAAAATCAGAGTCAGTAAGTGCCTGTATGCACCTGCAGTAGAAGAGCTGTTGAATCCTGTCGTGCTCTGAAGAGCAGCTCTCCTGTTAACTAAAAAGTAAAGAGGTTATTGGGCATGTGTGTTATTTTTATTGTTGATCACGTATGTTATTTTTTTCAGGTTGATGTTGAGGGATCTTGGGAGGGGCAGGGACAGCAGCGGAGGTGAAGCAGTGGGGTCTGAAGCCATTTCGTGGGTGAACACCCAGTTTTTTGTGGGTGAAAATGCTCTTCTGGCCTTAACTGGTGCATAAAGTGTCGGAGTAGGAATTACTTGATTAATAGTAGGATTACACATCTTGACTTTAAAGGGTCAAAGGGGAAGTCCAAAGGGAGACTTAGAAGGACACCTCGGGCAATGCAGCAAGGGGAATGGCCAAAAAGCTGCTCCCAGCTCATACGGGTTCTGCAAGGACACCTCGGGCAATGCAGCAAGGGGAACGGCCAAAAAGCTGCTCCCAGCTCATATGGGTCCTGCGTGACACACCGAGTGATGGACCTCGGCCTTTCACCACTCCCAGCGTGGAGGCTGTGCTCTTTTCCCTCCGCTCACCAAACAGGGAGGGATCTATTGCATCTATTTTCCTTGTCATAGACCCCACAATTCAGCTGAGGTTGTACCTCTATTTTTTCCAGGCTCGAAAGCCAGCAGAGTTTTGAGGTGATTCGATCCCACTCCAGTGAGTATGAACGTTGCACGGGGCTCCTGTGTTGCGGGGTGGGGGTCCTGCATGCACAGAACGGGGGGGAAGTAAAAATAAAAGGGTCACCTTGAAGCCAGGCGGTGAAATGATACGAGACGGGGATTGTCAAAGCCACCTTAGATGCTTCTAGGGATGCGAATTCTGAGCTCTAGGAAAAAAAAACTCCCTTCGAATTGAAAATAAAACACTAAAGCAATGTCATTGAAATGCAACACACCTTATTAACTCGGGCTCTTCAAACTTGGGCTCTTCAAACCGCTCTGTTCACCCTGTGAAAACGACGGTGTGGGTGAACCTGAATTGATAGGAGTGACTCATTTGTCATCACCCCCTTACTGCTTCCTGCGCAAGCTGGGTTAGGCGCTGACCTTTTGATTTTTATCCTGAAACGAGCTGCTGACGGGGTCTGTATTAAATGTCACCGTCTGCAGACGGGCTCTGCGGGGCAGCTCCTTTCCCTGGGACCTATCTCGGCCCGAGCCCCACAAACCCCCCTCCGAGTCTTTGCTTCAGCCCAGCCCGACCAAAGCTCACGACCTACCAGTGCATCTCACGGTGTGAAGGGAGGGGTGCTGAGCGTGGGAAAGGCTCCCGAATCAAGCAGGTTTGGCAGGGAATAGGAAATAAAGCAGAGGTTGGGATTGTAGCTTCCTCCGCAGAGCTAGCAAACACACACCGGTCTGCACAGACACCAGCTTTTCCTCTATTTGTTTCCCATTTTGGCCATCTATGTACTTTTGAGGAACGCTTTGGAAGGTGTTTTGGGATGCATTAGAAAAATGCTTGCCAGTACCGGGGAATCCTCTCTGGTGGATGCTCTGTGCTCATTGAAATTGCTGCTGCTGCTGCTGCAGTCGTTAACGTCTCGTTTTGTTCTTGGTGCTAGCTACAACCCGAAGGCTGGAACAAATTAAGGAACCTGAAAACTTATCAATAGCAAGGTAGGTAAAAAAACAAACCAAAACTCTAGCTATAGAGCCAAGGTTGGATGAACTTCACCCAACATACGTGAACATTCAGGATTTGGGATTGGGTTCTGGACCCTATAGATGGGGCTTGGGCTATACTTACTTCACTGATGGTCAATATGGGTTTAGGCTTTTTCTGGATTTCCTTCAGTCTGACTGTGTTCTACTGGCAACCATTTAAATCGAGCCCAAGGAAACGAGCTGTGGCTGTCCATAATAGGTACATCACGAAAAAGAAATGGCCGTTCTTTGCTTACAAGCAGTTTGACACGAGAAATTCCCTTCTCCCCATCACCAAAGCCCCCAAGAGCTACACGGCCGCAATAACTCTGCTGCAGTATTCAGGCATAGCTATTCCCACCTTGGGATTTGACCTCAAACTCTTCATTTCCCATTGCTTGTTATGTTTCCTGTATAAACTCGCAGGGAGGTTTCACGGATGTTCCTTCTGGCTTAGTCATTGCTGTGGTTTGTAACCCCTGGTACGGTTTGCTCAGACCTGGGATTTTAGCTCCCTTTTCTCTCTTTCAGGAAAACCACCAAGGAGCTCGGTGCCTCCTGCCGTGCTGGATACGGTGAGCATCTCCCCCGGGATGGGCACTGGTTCAATGCTCTCCCCATCCACTCGGCCACGGGGGAAGCACCTACCACAAAATTCATAAATGGGGATGTTGCAAATCTTGGCTTGTTTGTGTAGGTGCTGGCTGGGAGCTCCCACCGGTTTTGGGAAGACGGAGCCTCCGAGAGGCTGGTTACTTGGTGCCGGGACCCCGAGCAGGGCATGGGGGGGGCGTAATCCTGAAAACAAGCTGGGTGATGATAAAACTAACTGCTGTTATTAGTACCTACCCACGATGCTTGTGACTGGTCTGCACAGCGACACTTAATAAGAACTAGCCTGGGTCTGAGTTTAAAATCCAGTGCTCATCCTGCTGCGGCTGACCAGTCCTGGTTAGAGCTGCGGGGCCAGATTATTTAAAATATCACCCCTGGATGTCCCAACACCTCTGCCCTGGGGCGTCCAACCTTGCAGCTGTGTCCCCCAGCCCTGAGCAAGGAGCTGAGCGGGGGCAGAGCTGCTGATGCCGCAATGCTTGGTGGCTCCATCATCGAACGGCTCCCATTGATCAGCCTGAGCGTAACGTGCCCCTCTGCTTTTCCCCAGGGTGCAGGACCGAGTTCAGGTATCAGAATTTCCTGACAGGTAAATGCTGCAGCCGCACGTCTGGTGGTGTGGGGAGGGAAGGCTGCCGAGGCGATGAGAGGTTACCAGGGATGAGAGCTGGCGGGGAGCATGCAGGCAGCTGACACTGCAGCTGGCGGAGCCCCAGCTTGGTTAATTTAGCGATTGCTTTATAAGACACGCGCTGATCAGATTAACGATCAGAGCGGAGGGGGACGGGATGCTCGCGAGCCCCCCAACTCCCTCCCAGGGCAGCTGGTGCTTGCCCTAAGTGGATTATTGGCGTGTGGGGCTGTGCTCTCCTTTCCCAAACATGGGAGGATATTCCCCATCTCCCTGCCAGCTGGCAGGACCTGTCCATGAGAAGTGGTGAGCCCTGGTTTTCTCAGGGCCTGGGGTGGATTGGGGCTGCCTTCCCCCTGCTCCAGCCTCCCTGCTCTGCTTGTGGACGGGCTTCGGGGCTGTGCCGGGGCTTTCTGGCTGCTGGGGACATCTGCTATAGCCGTGCTCGGGGAATTTGTCCAGCTGTGCTTTGGGATGGCGGTTTGAGTTTATGCAATGGTACGGTGTGCTGACGGCAAACCCTTTGTGCTTGCAGAGGACTGCCTGCGAGGGGACATTGCTTACGTGTAAGTAGCTGGTCGCTGCCCGCCGACGCGATCGAGCAGAGCCATACTGGTCCCAGTGCGGTCGCGCGCTCCTGGCTCTCTTGGAGCTCAGGCTGGGAAGCCCGTGGGCTGCCCCGGGCAGGAGGAGCTAACGGCGGCTCTTCTTCTTGCAGGGAGCCCATATCTCTGGATTACTACAACTGTGCCCAGTTCTTCACACCACCCAACGGTAAGGTCCCCATGCGAGCGAGATGGGTTTCTTCTCCAGCCGCCAGCCCCGCTGTCCCGTGGCTCCAGGGAGCCCGTGAGACTTTTCTCGCCTATGTCTGTGTGTTATTGCCGTACGGCCTGAAGCAAGCGTGGGTCCGGGAGACACTTTCGTTAAGGCGTGTAGCAGAGTCGTGGGGCATGAGGGATGCCCGAGCCCCGATCGGTCCATCCGTTGGTTATAAACAGGACAGCCCAAACACATCCATGGCTCCCATCGCACAAAGCACTCTGTTCTCACCCTGTTTTGTCTCTGAGCAGCAGCAAATTATCCATTGCTGCAGGAGCGTTTGGGGTAACGAGGCCATTTTCCTGTTGGTAGCGCCGTCTGGTGTGGGTGAGGGGAGGTTGTAGCCCCTCAGGGTCCTGCCCAGACAGGCGGGAAAGGGCATGTCCTCGTCCAGGAGCTTTTCGTCAAAGGGAAGCTATCAAATATTTTGTATGCTTGGTTTATGAGGCTAGCGAATGAAGGTGGGATGAAACGCACTGCTCCATTCAAATGCGTCTTTTCAAGGCAAATATTGCATCTATGAAACATTTTCACCTCCTCGGGTACTCAGCATTTTTCTGCGCTGACTCAGACATCAATCTATTTTTATCTAAAATGAATTTCAAAACATGAATTCTATTTTTTATTTAAAGACACCAGAGGGAGGAAAAAAAAATTTATTTTTTTTATATCTCTTGTTTACCAAAAAAATTTAACTTATTTAAAAAAAGGGGGGGGGGAAGGGAGAAAGAGAAATGCGAATGTATTACTATGAATGTTTTTGTATCCCTTATTAGTTCTAATACTTTTTCAGCGGCTGAGGACTACCTAGAGGTAGTGTCAGTGTGTAGCTGTTGCGGAGCTGCTCTCAGTGGCTCCCTTGGCTAATGCCTTCCCCTCCTGCCTGGCGTGGCTTTGGGCAGCGGAGCCCTCACCGGTGCAGGGACTGCCTGTCCTGGTTGAGATCAGGCGACCCGCTGAGCTCCGTGCTTCTCCCCTTCAGCTTTGGAGAAGCGCGGAGGGTCGTGGGGTGGGCAGCAGCAGTGCTCACGCTGTCTGCAAACTTTTCCAGCTTAGGTGCCGTGACCACACTAACTGTTGAGTGTCAGTGGTGTTTTCAGCATCGGTGGATGCAGGTTTTGAGGTTAGCAATATAGGGACTCACATGGTTCAGCTGCTCACAGGCCCATCCAGAGAGCTAAAATAATCAGCAACGGAACAAAGAACTTGAGGGTGTTGGTTTTTTTTTTAATTCTTTTAGCAGATTTTATCAGCAACGGAACAAAGAACTTGAGGGTGGTTTTTTTTTTTTTTAATTCTTTTAAGCAGATTTTGGTTCTAGATGTTAATAGATTTACATATTGGGCTCGGACAGATGTTGTGCTTGGAATGGGGCTCAGTTCCTTCCCAGAAACTGAGAATAAGCCCAAGAAGACACCGCAGTCACAAGCATAACGCTCACTGGGAAGGAATACCCCCTCCCAACTGCTACACTGGGCTGGGTGCCTGGGGATTCACCCCTTGCTGGAGCCAGCCCTCTCCCTGTTCGCCTTAGGGGCTCCTGTAGGGCTAGTAATTATGCTTATTGGTTTTTATTCCTATCAGTAAGAAAAGTCACGGTGCCTCGGATTTGGCTGCTCGCCCTCGGGTGGCTCGGAAGTGATGACATGGCCGGAGAGGCTCAGTTGGTGCTCGACGGCATCGGTGGTGATGGTGCTCCTGTGGGGCAGAGATCGCCCGGTGCAACTGCGCTGGGGATGCCCCGGCCCCGGGTCAGTGCAGGCTGTCATGAAGACTAATGATCTTTTAGCTAATGTGCGTTTCATTGTGAGAAACAGCCTGCTCCTGTAGGTGCTGGGGGATCTTCCCAGGTCACCTACGCTTCCTTAAGTCCTTTGTCCCCCTCTTTCTTTCTGCCAGAGAAAGAGGAGGATTCCCATTCCTATCAAAACATCATCACTGGAGTGTCTCACGGCTCCGATCCGGGTAGGTGTGTTGCTGTCGTGGTTTGTGTGTGTCGTACAAAGGTATCTGGAAGTACAGAGAGGGACGGTGACCTGCTCAGCCGAGGGAAAACCCCCTCGTTCACAGGCTCAGCTCTTCCTATCAGCTCTGTGCCGGTGGAGCCGGGGTGCAGGGGCTGCCGCAGGCACAGAGCAGACCTGGAACATTTCCCCTTTCTGCAGGAAAATGCACGTGGTGGTACCTTACTGGCTGAGAGCTCACCTCCGGGCTGATCCCTTTGACTTGGAGGTCTCTGAAGTAATTCAGGAGCTTTGGGGTCTGCATTGCTTCTCTAGGTCTTTCAGTGTTGTTACAGCTGAGACTGAGTGTGGTTATAGCCCCCAGCTCAGGTTTCTCACCACGTCCAGCCCAAGAAGGCTGCAGGCAGTGAGCCGCTGGAGGATGGCGTTGGACCACAGTGTCTGCTTAAGGGATGTCTGCTTCTGTCCTGGGATGTTGCAATCAAAATAGGAAGTCAAGCTGGTTTCCTTCAGCAAATTAACACAACACTTTCTGCAGCGCTAGAGCCTGCCCTGCTCCTGCCTGGCTTTGTACGGAGCAATCAGAGGAGGCAGGAGCAGCGGGGCCCTGCTGCTGATAGCCAGGCGCGTGATCAGGGCTGGAAAAACGATGAGGCAGCGTCAGCAGACCTGCGGCAGGATGGCAGCCGCCCGGCTGGAAACTCAGCCGCGTGCACGGGGCGGTTGGGGTGCGGTGGTAGGAGGGGGGTTTCACAAAGGTCCATTTTTAGTCTGCTTGCTGTTCAGCATCATCCTCTCCAAACTCTTCTTAGACACAGATGATGCTGCAGACTATGAGAACAGCGTGGCGATACACATATGGAAACTCCAGCAAGCAGAAGGTATGTTCTCAGCAATCGTTTACTATTTAGGGATGGGGCTCATGGGCAGGGTGCCTGTCGCGCTAGACTGGTACAGACCACGCTCAGGGCAATGCAGCCATTGAGTTATTTTTCTCCCTAATCATCCATGATAAACATCTAAGGCAATGTCCAAATTGCTACACACACTTGTAATTGAATGTTGCTGCGATGGGACGTGGTGTTTCCAGTGCTCAAAAGGCCACCACACGGGTGGCTGTCCCTAAACCCTGACCACAGGATGCTACAGAAGAATGTCACTCTTCATGTCTTACATCTTCTTTATGTTTTGAATTTGCCCCGGTGCAAGCTCAGCCTTGTGATCCCCTCCAACAAAGAAATGTGCAGCACGCACATCCAGTGGGTCAGCCTGCGACTCCCCTGCGGTAATTGGGGGTGCAAATTTCTTAAGCTAACCTTTAAACAGCAGTTTAATCTAACGCGTGGCTTCCTGTGCAGCGCAGGGGGTAGTCCGGCCTCGGACATAGTGGTGAATGTATACATATATTTAAGATCCTTCTGTGTCTGGTGTGGAAGCTGCCTAAGCAAACTGATTCTTGTTATCCTGTTTGCATACCCTCTAGATTAAATCTAAGTCTGTCTCTTCTGGCTCTGAAAAGTTGTCCATGCTCGCCGCTCACAGAGCGCTTGCAAATTTGCTGTGACCATTTTGAAGCCCCTTCAAGGAGACTTTGACACTGATCTGAGGTTTCTTAGCCCAGGCACAAAAATATGTTGGCACTGAAGGCTAAATATTGGGAGGACACAGGGCGTGTCTATGGTGTGTATGTGGTTTTTTTCGATCAACCCGCTTACTGATCAGTGCTTCCCATCCTCACTCGCAGCTCTGCAGACAGAAAGCCTGGATGATGAGCCAGACTACATCAACACAGACCCCGCGTCAGGCCCTGCCCCTCTGTCAAAGCAAAAGTAAAAAGAGAACACGTGGCTGGTGGATTTATTTAGGGGTGGGAGGACTGTGTTTGTGCCAAAGAGAGCTCAGGTGGAGCTTTGCACCTAGCCGGTGCGGCCAGCCGGTGCCCAGCAGCCCACATAAGCTGTGCAGGGAGCAGGGGCAGCCATGGCATGTTTCTGGCTGATGCCAAGCTGACTAACGCCGGCCGTGGAGACAAATTTGTCAAAGTCTGTGTCCCAGCGCCGCCCTCCTCCAACAGGAACTCAAAACCACTTCAGAGCAGCTTCGGGAGGCGCTGCTATGTGCTGCAGACAGGAACCCCCAAAACCCCTCTGGTCTGTGCAGCTCGGAGGCTGAGCAGCGTAAGGGATTCCCTGGGCGCAGCTGAGCCCTGCCTGCTCTGCTACGACCGCATATCCTGCCCTGTTATCAGCAGCAACCTGATGCTAATGATAAAGAATTATTCAAGGCAGTTAATGTAAAAACCATCTGCGGAGAGCTGCAGAAAGATTGCATCACACGGAATGAGTGGGTGATATAACACAGTGTCAGTAAATTCATGGTAACGTATGGAAGAAAAGCAGCCCCAGATATACCAAACGCAGGGACAGGTTCTGCATTAGGTGTTGCAGCTCAAAACAGGCTCTCGGAGGCTTTGCGGTGAGCTTGCAGCAAGTGCTGGCTGAGCTCTCGTCAGGTGAGCGTATGTGGATTGCTGAGAAGGGGAAAGAGGAAAATAAACCACCGCTGTGCTAATGTATAGATCTGTGGTGTCTTTACATGCTGGTTAGAGCACGTAGTGCTGGTCACCCTGCTCCAGACTGGACTAGGACTCCAGCTGGGAGAGGGACTGGGACCAGTCTTGCTCTCCTTGTTGGGTTTTTACTCTCTGAGCACCTGCAGAGACCCAGCGGGATCATCCTTATGCCACGTGCTCCAGTTACAGGGTTTTACAATCCCCAAACTGTGGGCACCAGCGGTGGGCAGACCCCTCAAATTGGATCTTTCTGAAGCTGTGCAAAGCATTTAAGACTTGTCCCCACCATAAAAGGCACAGTCACCTCATTCTTCACATTGCAGTGTCTGCTTTGAACTTCAGCAGCCTGTCCCGGCAGCGTTAGCTTTGACACAGACTGTGCTGGAGGGGAAGCTGCACCAAGGGCAGGTTGTGCATTTTGGTCAAGGATTCAGCGTGTGTCACTCGTGGCACGCAAGTTGCTTCTCAACAGCACACGCACGTGGTCTGGCCGGCAGCGAATACAGCTCAGCCTGGTGAATGCCTCTTCCCCTGCCCACGGAGAGCCACTGCTCCCCGCAGTCCAACACCAGCCTCTGCCGGGATGCGGCTGAACGCGGGAGCTCCGGCCCGAGAAACCTGCCGCAGCAGTACCTCGCTGCCAGGCATCTCTCTTTGCTTGAGCTGGAGCAAACCAAGAGAATATCATAAAAATGGACTGTTTCAGATGGGGTTGCAGAGAAACTTGCTTTTTTTGCAGAGAAACTTCTTTTTGGAAGGTGTTTATGGAATAGCCAGGTGTTGCGTTGGCTAAGCATCTGGAGAAAGGAAGCCAGATTATCCATGAAAAAAATGAGAAGTGCTATAATGGTAACTCTTATAAGCAATTCTGCATTTATTCTTCTTCCACAGAGAAATTTTGAGGCGGAGGGGATTACATTTCTGCGTTAGCGTGGCCCTGCTTTTCGCTCTGATAGTGGCTCCGTGGCACTGGGCACACCAGCCTGCTCTGTTTGCCGTTCGTAATGGGGAGGGTGCCCACAGCCTTCAGAGCTGAGAGAGGAACAATCAGGGCCGATAGATGCCCAAAACGTTTAGCAAAGCTGCGGTAATGACTGCACCTGACTTGGTGGAGAGCAATGATCAAAGCAGCACAGGGGCTACCATAAATCCACCCCCCGCAAAGTGATAAATGATGGTGGGAAGGTAGGAGAGGGAGGAATAGCTGTCCTGCTAAGCGCTGGTGATACAGATTTTCTGGGAAAACCTCCAGTCCTAAGCCCTAGCAAAATGCTATCGTGGCTGTATGTGTCAATAGCTTCTGGTAGCTCTGTAAGTAAACTAAAGTTGCCAACGCACTTTTTGCCATTATAATGATGCCTCTGTTATAGCCTTTGCTAGCAGAGTAACACTATAAAATCCTCACGTCCAACCAACAAATGTCAGCACAAGTTCTCCACTAAGGGAGGGTGAATTTGGGCTCCTGCCACCTCTGTGCCCTCTGCTCTGCTCAGGGATCGTCATCCGGGAGCACGGCTGGGTCTTCTGCTTAGATGTAGTGTACCTCGCTACTTGTCCCTGGAAAGAAAATGTAACAGGCAGCAGAGTTAAGAAGTTGAAAGCAGGTATTAAAAGTCAGTGGACTTACTATTTTTTCCCCCTCCTATTTCAAGTATTCTGCGTAAAGTCTGAAGAAGTCCTCTGCTGAGCTGTAAGAGCACACCCAGCAAGCATGCGCACAGGGAGATTTCGATCCCTCAGTGAGATCTCTTCTCCAAATTGTGCCCAAGATCACATAGAAGGGGTGCCGCTGAAAGGAAGAAATGCTCTGCTTGAAGTCCCACAGAAGTCCAACTGCAAACCTGCAACTGGAGAAAGCACTCTGCCCAGCAGTGACCACGGGCCAGCCAAGAGCTCGCTATCCCATCTCATTTCCCTGCACATCTACTCGAGGGAGGATGGCCAGTCCGTGCAATGTTTTCTCCTGTCAAGCATGAAATGAGTCTTTAAATTGCTGAGCAGTAATGCAGCCAGCTACTTAATTTGTCAGGGTGACTCATGCACGATGGTATTAAGACATAGGGATTACATTCTGACTTAGTTCCTGTGCTCTCCTACAGGAGCGGTTCCCCACAAGAGAGGAACTAGCAAGGCAGAGGTTGCTTTTACAACAGCAGTGGTTCTCTGGAACTAAATGAGATACCAACCTGTTCACAAAAGCTAAAGACGAAAGAGGACTAAATCCCTGCCTTATCCACAGCTTGTAATTCACAGTATCTGTCTGTGGCAGTTTTCCTTGGGTTTCGGTATCCATTTTATAATGACACAAAGACCCTGCAACAACCGAGAAGGTCCGAGCCGCAGCTGCCAGCCTCGGAAACTGCACCAGTCTTTCAGTATTGCCGTAGGGAACATCAGCCCTGAAATGTAACCCTCGTCTCTTGAGCCCCGATGCACGGATTTGGCAGCATTGTACCACTTATTTATTAAAATTGAAAAGCCTCCAAAGACAATCCGGTGTTTTATTACAGTTTGCTATGATGCAGACGTTGTCTGCATCGTTGGGTGAGGCAGACTGAGATGGGAGCATGTGAGATGACATGGAATGGTGTGCGGGATCTGATGGGGAGAAAATGTAGCTCCTTAAAGCCTTCTTCCTCAAAATGGGTTCAGAAAACTGCTTCAAGAATGGATGTAGCCCATACTCACGTCTCCAGGACCGGTAAGAGTGAGCAGAGAAGTGGAGCTAAGGGCGAGCGAGCCCTGGAGCGGGAGAAGGGGATGTCAGGTGCTTCCTCCTGCAAGTGACTTGGCTGTATTTTTAGCAGAATCACTGAGACCTTGAGTGGCCGTCGTTTGTGTAGCTGAAATGGTGTGTGGTTTGGAGTGTGGTTTAGGAGACGATTTACTTGTAGCTCCTGCAAATGCATTTGTTCCTGCTTCCACGGGACTTTTACAACAGAGAAAATCTAGTGCACTTCAGGGATGTACACACACGCGGTCAGCTACAGCCTGGTTTTCTGCTTACCCCAGCCCAGCTTCTACTCACACCCTCTGGTTCCCTGATGTTTAAATGCTCTGCAAAAAGTTTGCACAGGTGGGGGACACCAGTGTCCCAGTGAGCCTGGAGCAGACACGGTGACAGCCACGGCCTGTGCTGGCTCTGCACAGGCTCACAGACAGGCAAGGAGAGAAGGAGATGCCTTCGTTTCTGAAACAGTGGGCCCGGCCCTCGCAGGACCATGAAATTGTCATCCTTGGTTCATCCTTCGTGACTAACTCAGCACCTGCAGAAGCTCCCACTTCCCATGAAGTGCTGCAGACTGTGGATTTTTCGCTGGAGGGGAAGGGCGAGCTCCGTTTTCAGTGATGTGCGGTGATGTTACACCTACTGGTGATTCATCTCGTAACCGGAGGGAGCCATTAAATGATTAGGAGATTAGCAGCAGTAGAAGAACCTTCACACAGTAATAGATCCAGCTAGAGAACTCCCAGAAAGTTCTAGCCATTAGGTGGGTGCGCAGCCAAAACATTAAACTAAAAGATTTACTGCTCTCCTGGCTAAGCAGGGAGGCGGATTAGACCAATTACATTTTCCTGGTATAAGATTTCTCCACTGCCAAAATCTGAGTTTGAAAGTTGTAGAGCCGAAGCCAGCAGGGCAGGAGCTGGCTATGGAATATATCTTCCCTCCTCTTACTGGGAGTCTGGGCAAATCCCCCCCTCGCAGCTCTCCAGAACAGCCAGCTTTAGAGAGGGGTAAATCCTTTCTCGGCTCCTGAAGTACTTTTCAGCCAGTGATCTCATTATGCTGGAAGATATCCAGGGACTGTTACGGGAACTTCCATTGATGTTATTACGGTCTTGTTCTGAAACACCTGACGTTTTTTCTCTGCAATGAGTGACCATGTACATGTGAGTGTGTTCACTGACGCACTGTCCTTTCAGGACTCGGTTTGAGGTGTGCAAGGATTTCTGGTGCTCAACCAAAATCACCAGATCCTGTACTGTCTGAACATAACGCAAGGAGAAATGACATCTCCCCTGGGTCCATGTATCTCTTTCCTCACATTAGGTAGGCAGCCAAGTGAGCAATTCACTTCCTGTTTTCAATTTAAGATGCATTAGAAAAGTAGTTTTGGCACCGCTGGTGCGGCTCAAATGGAGCTGGGGAGCCGTAGCTAGCTGCCGGAAAGCGGTAGCTCTGCACTCAGAGAGGGTGAGCAACCACCTTTGGTAGAACAGGCTGCACTGGTGGCCTCTCGGATCGATACTACTCCTC